CCAAACCACAAAAACCACCATCAACTATATTTTTATGCCTTAAGCTCAGGAGTTTTTTTTCACTGCTGGTCGGATTTGTGTTTAATCGCTTCCCTTGACAATGCCTGTAAACTGGCATTAAATAAAAATTTATTTATTTATCGGGCTAACTGATAAGTCCTCGGGCTCCGTAAACTAGAGATCCAGTTTTCTTAAGGAGAGCTCTCGATGCCAGATAGTTGTTCATCCCAATTCCGTCCGTTTTTGCGTATGAATTGCAATAAACACTTCCCTGGTGTCTGCCGGGACGAAGCAAAGCCCAGAGGGTCACAAAGTGAGGACAAACAAGACAAAATACCCCTACGAGTGGACGGTTTTGCGGGCATATTGAAACTTATCATCAGAATATCGGAATGTGTATCCCACTGCAACCCCAAAGTTCGTTCAATAGGTAGGAAATTGATGGCAATATCTCGCATACCAGAAGAATGTTCAGTTGCGCTAACGACCAAGAGGATACGTCGGTCATTAGAAGCCCAGTTCCGCATTCCAAAGCCGTCTTGAGAGAGAAGTTTACAAATTTCGTCCACAAAACGTTTGGCGGGATCGACATCACATAACGAGACTAGAAAATCATCAACGTATATTCTCTGATTAATCGCTCTGCAAATTGATTAAGAGTAAAATGAACCGATATCTTCTACTGTTTTTTGTAGCACAAAGGTGGCACAAAAGGGCGAAGAAGTCAATCCAAATGGGTGAAATGTCCACTGAAACTCAACTGACTCTCCTTCAAGCTCGTAATTTTCCCGTCACAAACATTTCAGAGCAGGTCGATAAATCGGGTCCACTTTCACTTGCAGGAACATTTCCTCTATACCCCTGCCACTTCAGTACGCTCAAGTTGGAAATCCAACAACACACTAACTGAGCGTTTAAGTCAGGTCTTTTGTATAGATTGTCATTCAGAGACACGCAGTTTTTAGCGGCAAATGGTTCCCTTTTGCCATTCAGACGTTGGTCGAGTACCCAATGAGCTTCCGCGATATCATTCCCAATGCAAAGGCAACCTCGCAATCAGTGAGTTCGTCGAACATTATACCGCTCAGGTGTGGCCACGAAGGGACTATCCTTTTAATTGTCGATTCTGCACGGAGTGACAAGTCTTCAACCACCATAGCCCTTTCAATCTCAACTGACTCGGTTCCATTCATGGACAGCACCCTTAGGCTTCTGACTTCCGAGTTGCATTTGATTGAACCGCATAAGGTGTTTATTGTCAGTGCTGTTGGCATTGTGAACACTCCATTGCCGACGAGAAGCTTTCGTTTAATCATAGTGACATTCGAACCACTGTTCAAAAATGCGTAAGTTTCGACGTTTCCTCTCGGAGTTGCCAACTTGGCAGGAATAACTCCCAGTCGTGATGGTACGTACGTAATTCCAGTCAAGGCACAAAGCCCTTCCTGTGCTGAAGGGAGACTGACAGTGCCCAAGGGGCGCTATAATAAACCTATTCTATTCTTTTCCATTCTATGTAATGTTCGTTGTTTATTTTCCGATGACATTACATGCAAAAACGTGTGATATCGCTTTTGCACCCGGACTGATCATAAAGTTCTCTGGAGCTGCACACCTTGGCAAATGCGTATTACCAAAACAAACAATACACGCTTTGTTTTCCCGCAGACAATTCCACCGATCTGCAACATCCATAGAAAGTAAACGTGAGTAATTTGTCACTCCATGGACATAAGAACATATGTAACATGGTCGTCGATCTGGTTCGACACTCGAAATGGCAAAATTGCCAGGGTTCTCCCGTTTTTGATGTTGGGCTGTGACAGTAAAAGGCAGTTGAGAGAGCTTGACATCCCCATCTCGAGATATTTGTCCGAAACTACTTCTTGCTATCCCGGCTCGAGTATTTATGAATTCCGTGAGGTTTGCAAAGTCCGATTCTTTACCATTCATAGATATTTTGTCAGCAACTTCTGCCCACTGGATTTGCATAAAAAACGGCTAAAAGCGCACTTTTCGCACTAGGGCATTCAGCGATTTTAAGTCAGACACGTAGTTCATTTGCGTGAGCGCTATTTCACAACTTCTCATCTTTATGCACAAATTTGAAAGTGCCTTTGCGGTCTGATTGACTTGGCGTGCCTGTCTGAAGACACCGTCCAGAAGGGCATTAGAAACTACACGTGGTTGGCCAAATAAGCTGCTTAATATTTCCCGTGCTCTTGAATAAGCCAACGGTGAGGGCAGCATGACGCATTCTTCTATTGCCTCTCTCGCATCACCTCTGCAATAGTGAATCAAGTACAGAAGCCTCTGTCCAGCATCTTCTTCTTTGCTCTCCAAGTACACTTCAAACTGTTGTATAAATTTCCAATAATGAATGGGGTTGCCATCAAACCAGGGCAACTCAAATTTGAGTAGTTCTAAACTGGCATCTGGCAGGTTCATAGCACTTGGTTTGGATATATCAACATTCACACGTTGTCAGGGATTACTCCCTTCAGGAGAAATTTCATTCAATGTGCATTTTTTCAAATATCCCGAGACATGCGCGACGAAATCCACGGGTTGACGATTGTCATCGGACATCTCTTTCTCGGTCTCTACCTCTATCCTAGCAAGCTCGGTCCTTCTCTGCGCATCAAAAATAGCTTGTTGGAGTTTGACCTCTCGTTTAACTCGTCTCTTTGTTATTTCGGCTATTCCTAAGGCTTTATAACTGTTTTACGGGAACTGCGACTACGAACTGAAACGTTCTTACAAGAGCCGGACTGGACGCCTTTCTTCGGCTGTCCTTGTCCCTCAAAGGCACCTAGTTTGTCTGTTCCGAGAGACTGTTCCGTACCGTCCGATTCATCCTTCATGGAACGCGTCTACATTTGATGAAAGTAATTTCCTCGAATATATGGTACGATGTTCAGTACTGTGGAATTCTTGGTAAATTGAGTTACGCGTATAAGCCAAAACAAATTTCGGTGTATATACGGTACTATTGATAGAATAAGGTAATAATAAAAAACGTACAAACCTCAACAATGGATACCCCAGATAAAGAATTCCTTTGTGACTGTTCGAGCAAACCGAATTCCCAGCTCAAGGCCAGCATACAAAAACTAGTTAATTAAAAGAACGCCAATCAAGCTCGAAAGAGGGTTACAAAAGGGAGGAAGGGGAATGTCGACAGAGGCCAAGTGTGAAAGCCCTTTGAGGAGGGTGTGGAGAATTCCAAACTTTGACCAGCTGGATAAACAGTCACCGATGATAGGCTCGAGTAAGAATACGAAACGTCCTCCCAATTAACTTTTTTCCAGCGATCTCATCTAGTTTTCCTCAAGTGTCTTACATAGGCGTTCAATTCGAAAAATTGTTTGAGGCTGGAACAAGAAGCAAACTATCGACATGGACCACAGAGTACCATATTGAGATGTCACAAATCTTATGTCATAAATCGGGATTTAGTCCTTTGACCATTTCTCTTCCTGGCATACATCAAAGACTGTACCGTCAAGCTCCGTTGCAGTGCCATCATGTTTGTCAAGAACGTTGAACTCGCGGGGCACCAAGTCTAGCGCAGATAGTCAAATATTCAAAATAGTCTTAAATGAATTAGCAGTTGGTCTTGTCGGTGGCTTTTAGCATTTGCGTTGTTAATTATTTGGTTAAAAACCCCGCACTTGAAGGTAACACGAAGAAGACCTTTCTTTTTAATGCGTTCTTGATGGATAACCGCACTCACGTGTTGAACAGCAGAAAGACCTATGTGTTCTAGTTAATTCCTCCCTCACACCGTCGTCTCAGGGATGATAGGCAACTTAATATGCGACACAAACGTACTTTGCTTTGAAATGAGCGCTATTGCAAATAATTCAAATACTGCTCGGCAAAACGTACGGGACTTTTGTTTGGTCCAATTTGAAATGTGCACTTACGATATTGTGCCTGTGACTCAAGGAAGGTTGTAAATTATTCGAGTTGCCTCACTTTAAGACCACGAAAATTGTGAAAGATCTCGGCAAGTTACCACAGGAAACCAGGCTGAGTAAAATTAACTCGGTTCCAATAGATTGGGGGCAAATGTGCGACCACGCCATTCAGACCAACAAGATTGTCGGAGGCCGTGCATGCGTCCCACAGTTTGACATGGTTGGAACAGGCAGCCTGAGTAGTCACAAATTTCAGCTGCAGGGGAAGTTTACCCACTCCGATATCCGCCAGAAAGTCTTCTCGCAGATGGTTGCTGAAACATGGAATTAGTTTACTGCTAAGATGCTGTATTTGGACATTGCTCGCACACCTAAATGAAAAAAATGATACACATATGCTAAGAAACTACTGTGTGAATATTTGCGATTCTGTCATCGACAACAGCCTATGCCTCCCTCAGTGACGTCACATTTGTCAAAAGCATGAAAGGCATGATGCCGTAGTACCAGCGTTCATCGTCCCGTCTTCAGGGGTCGTTTCGCCTGATCATTCGGACTGCTTTGCTGTAGAAGCTATGAGTAATGGTTCTTCAATTGATCGATCGGATTGATTGATAGACATTCGCTTGCACAATCGCATAGGCAATCAGTCGCCAGATAACGATGGGAAGTAATATGGTTTATTGAGAAATGTAGATATGATAACTATGAGCATCTGGATTACAGCGTAGATAAGATTCTCAACGAGAGGGGTCTCTCGGAAAATACATTCCGGATGAACGCTTGGGCGAATCACAGGGGGCATAGAACTGGAATCCGTTACAGGAGGTGGCACACTGTCTTCAACAGTCCACTCTGAAATCCTATGAACACTGGCACTGTTCCGTATCTCTTTCGGAAATCACTTTAGTTAAACAAAGAGAGTCAATTTGGCCTTGCCCTTCAAAATCCTTCTTTTTTACGATTCTACTTTGCAAACCAAGTGCGAAAGCTTTGTTTTCTGCATAAAGGGACTTAATGTAATAAGCATTAAAAAGTAGGAGTCCAGGTCTTATAAATTTGAAGCACGCCTTAATACTCAATTCTGTGTGAGCGGGTCGCATCTTCATATGATGAAGTGGGGATGGGCGATATATTCAGTTAGTTGACGAGGCCAAAAAACAGCCTGAAAAACAAAGCTGACATCTGTTCATGGAGATGGGGTTATTGGCAGTACAGTATTTAATCGAACCTCCGGAAAGGCTGTACACAAAAGGAGATGGGGTCAGTCAAACGGACATAGATCAAGCTAACACGCATGGAAGATCATTATTCAAGATGAGGGTGTGGGGCTCAAAGATGTCCATTAACAGATGAACTGGATTTTCCGGCAGACGGCCTTATCTCCAGGGGTATGGTGCAGGACCTTTTGTTAAGGAGTTGCTGGATCTTCGCTTCTCTGTTACTTTTGATTTCAGCCCTGTGAGAAGGAATAGAGAAATTTAAAAGACTCGCCATTAGGGCAGTTGGATTTGGTTTTGCCGGGCATTTCCATCGGATGCTCATTCGTCTGAGTTAACTGTGCAGTCGAGAGTGAGAGTCAGAAGTGGGTAACGAATGCGTGGTAGTTTTTGTATATCGTTAACTGCCATTGATTGAATGTACCAACGACCAGAACTGAGGTATTCTAACATCCAAAGTAAGCAAGCAGTGGACGAAGCGCAGGGACCGATGGTGGTTATTCTATCGAACATAGATCCGGTGAGGCCTGATTGGTGGGATAATGTTACTACTTTCATGCGGTAAGCAGTTCATCAAGAGGAAAGTTTTGACATTAATGAGAGTCATCCACAGTCGTCGTCAAATTGTTTTTTATTTAAGACCTTTGGGGTCCTATCATAGTAGGTAGCTGACGGTTCAAGAGCCTGGGCAAGGTTTTTCTACGAACAACCGGCGTTCCGCTGTCGCCGCGCCCTACACCGGGTAACTTGAGACGCGGCCATCAAACTATTTATGTGTTAGGGATATGTAGAAGCAATAATCCCAGCAGAGATAGACTGGCACATAGTCACCAAGATCCGTCGAGGATATCTGGGCTTCAAAGGAAATTCGCATCGAAAAGGAAGGAGGTTCAGTAATTTCTGAATCTGTTATACACAGCTCGCATGGAAGGGCTAAATTTCCTCACATTGGTCCCGAGAGCGCAGTGCCATATCTTGCCAGAAATTTTCGGCAAATTTCAAGGATCTGTCTTGTACATGTTGACACTTCGTTCAGTATGTAATATAAACATTTTCATAGGCATACTCATACGCTGGCTAATTTGCATGCGAACGGGCGATTTATGCCGGTGATATTCGTGCAACGCACCGACCATCAGATGAACGGGCTAGATAAAGGATTACTTGGTGGAATTTTGCATAAAGGTTTCAAAGAACAGCCTAGTTTGCATGATTAATAGTGCGGAAATTTTTAAAGTAAGTCCTAATTTGCATAGGAAATCTATTATATACATTTGGCTGATTCCATGCAATGTGGTGAATAATTATCCAATGTCGTACATTGCTTGGTAGGGAGTGGGGTCACTTAACGACATAAGTATAAAAACAGAAAGAAAAAATAAAATTTCCCTCTTCATACTTTTTTTTACCTGTTTGTGCTCTGCTAAATGTTTTCGGGAATAATGCTTGCACAACCCATGAATTTCCATTTTACCATTCTGTTTAAATTGCAGTTACTCTTTTCCTAAATGTCTGCGAAAGTTTACCATCGATGTTGTGGCTTTCTCTTAATTGATTATTGTCTTGCATGAGCAAAGAGTCCCACATTACTGCTTGCTACCGTTCCAAAACCCACCCGCCTCTGAATATTTTGTTGGGTCCCGCAGTCTGTGTGCCGGATGTGACGCTCTCTCGTATCTTTGGGGAAATAGATCGCGCATTCGAACAACCGAAAAGTTACAAGCGAAGCTCACAAGCCAGAAGTTTCCATAATTGACAACGGCGAGTTTAGAGCCAACCGCAAGTTGAGCATGCCCACTTTCTTTTAATCAGCCTCAGTTTTGGGCGCGCTCTTTACGAGTTGTGTTCTGGGCACGTTGGCCTTCGAGTCCTAAGTGATATTGTGGTTTAGCACTCCACAATGACGAACACAAAGGGTCATCGGCGCGGTACGCGTTACATGTTTGCGCGTAAGTTCCGCAGGCATGGAACTTTACCGACGGGGGTTTATATGCGCGTTTATAAGCGCGGGGACATCGTGGATGTCGTTGGTGATGGTGGCGTTCAGAAGGGCATGCCGCATAAGTCTTACCACGGTAAAACTGGTCGCGTGTTTAACGTTACAAAGCACGCTGTCGGTGTAATCGTGAACAAGCGTGTCGGGTAAGTGGTTCCTCCCACGTTTCGTTTCATTATGTAGTAATCGCATTATTCCGAAGCGAATTAATGTGAGGATTGAGCACGTCCGGCCCAGCAAATGCCGTGTGGAGTTCCTTAATCGTGTTAAGGAGAACGACAGAAGACGCAAAGAGGCTAAAGAGAAGGGGATTCGATGCACCCTCAAGCGAAAGGTATGATCATTTCCCGCATTAATTTATCCTACAGCCCAAACTTCCACGGCGCGCTCATCTTGTTCTGACAAAGAAAAGGCCAGTCGTAGACCTTCATCCTTTGCCATATGAGTTGATTGCGTAATTAAACTTGTGCAGGCGGACACCAGCTCTTGACTTTATCACTTGATCCTTGGTTAGCCGCGATTGTGTCGTGCTTTTTTTTTCTAAAGAGGTTTTTGGATGCCGCGAGCTTTTTGCTGCGTAAGAATATCAAACCGGGTGCTGCGTCGCTAAAGTGGTGACGGGCTTGCCCCGTGTTCGGCATCCGTTTTAGTATGGAAGGAATTTCAAGGATAAGGGATGCCGGAGTGACCATTTCTGGCTAGTTGGCTGCTGGTCACTCGCACCCCTAACGTTAATGACCCAAGGTCCCCACATAGCCTTTAAAGTTCGGGAGTTAAAGTCACGCGATCTGCTATTGGACTGCGGACTCGTCCGCTGAACGTTGCACTTTACTGATGACATCTTTCGCCGTGTGGCCTCCCCTGACGGCTCTAGATCGACACTATAGGGCAAGGTGACGCTGGCGTCTTTCATCCGACAATCCTTCTGGTTGGCGTCATTCCTAGGATAATACTCCCGTGTCCTCCGGCTTCTTAACTTGGTTCGTTTTTTCTTATTGTAATCACTCGGCTAAACTGCGTTAGCGTTCACCACGCCTGTGACCCGATATCGGGTCTGTAATTGGTGATCTTACTTACTTGATACGGCTGCGATCATGCCTGATCTAGCCGGCCCCGGTGATGTTCCGAACTGTACCTCTCCACGCGTGACGATCTGCGGCAGCAGATCTAGACAGCTCAACCCATTCCCTTCGCCAACGACGGAGACCGAATACCGAAGGTCCAAGAACCACCTCCAGGTCTTGACGAACTGTGTCGAACCAGGTTTTGTACTGATCCCCTCGTCGACGCCTCCGATAGGGTAGCGGTGGCGGATCGAGGGCAGTAACACTGAGCTCCTGAGGTGGACGACGAAGAACATGCCCGAACCACCTCAGTCGTCTTTCTTGGGTGGCCTGAGTTATCCTTGCGATGTTGTCGCAGCGAACGCGGACTGTCTCATTTGAGACGCAATCGGTTAACTTCGCTCGAAGGATGGTCCTCAAGCAGTCGTGGTCAAATACCTCCAGTTTTCGCTCATCCTCCACACGCAAAGCCCAGCATTAACAACCGAAGAGAAGGACAGACGGGACAGATGCACGGTACACGCGAATCTTAGTGGCGATGGAGAGGTCACGTCGGTTCCACAGGCATTGCCGAAGGCTTGAGAAAACCCAGCGAGCAGCATCGATTCGGGAGACAATGTCGTCCTTACTCTGTCCATTAGGCAGCAGCCTCGCCCCGAGGTATTTAAAACTGTCCACTTTTTCAAGTTGACAGCCATCAATCCCCAGGGGTGCCTTCTCCTGGTCAGGGATGCAGCTTGAGAATACTTTGGTCTTCCCAACGTTTATGGACAAACCCACTGATTTAGCGACCTCGTTCACCCGTGACACCATAGACTGCAGATCACCAAAACTTGAAGCAAGTAAGGCGATATCATCGGCATAGTCGAGATCAGTCAGGCGATGTCCGGGTGCAAATTCAACGCCGTCACTGTCGCGTAGGGCCCTCCCGAGGATCCAGTCAATAGCGTAGTTGAACAGTATGGGTGACAGGATACAACCCTGTTGGACGCCAGACCGAATACCGAACGGTTTGGAAAGATTGTTACGGACCAGGACTCTTGCAGTAGTGGAGCGATAGTAGGCCTTGATCATGGCGATGATTTTTGCCGGTACGCCATTTAGCGCCATTATCCGCCGCAGGGACTCACGGTGAACGGAATCGAACGCGGCGGCAAAGTCAATGGAGCAGACGGCCGTCGGTTGTTGGTAGCTATGGCGAAATTCGAGAATGCGCCTCAGTGTGAATATCTAGTCCGCGCATCCACGTCCAGCACGAAATCCGGCTTGGTTGGGCCTCGTCCTTGAGTCACGCACAGCCTGGAATCGCCTGAGTAGGACAATAGCGAAGATCTTCGCAGCAACGTCGATGAGACTTATGCCGCGGTAGTTGTCGCATCTCGTCTTATCTCCCTTCTTGAGGATAGGCACAAGGATGCCTAAGCCCCAGTCATCAGGAACAACCTCGTCTCTCCACGCTCGTTCAATCACCTCATGGAGTCAGGGCGCCAGAGTGTCGACACAAGACTTGAAGATTTCAGCGAGTATACCGCCCTCTCCGGGTGCCTTATTGTTGCGCAACTTTCGTATGGCATCGGCGACTTCTTCATCGGAGGGGGGATCGCATGGCACTGCATAGGTAGGAGAGGGAAGAAACTCCGCTGAGGAGGAGAGCAAGGGCGAAGTAAGTTGGGTAGCGAAGTTGAAATGGTACTCAAAGTGCTCACGCCAGCGCTCGACTTTGGCCGAGTTGTCAGCAATAAAGCCGCTGTTCACATCGCGAACAGTCACTCAGTGTGGAGGGCTTACCGCTAACTTGGCGGATCAGACGGTAAAGCTTTCGAGTGTCACCAACGTTCGAGGCCTGTTTCATGGATGTCGCTATTCCAGCCCAATATTGTTTCCGGTCATCCCTGGCCGATTTTGTCGTCATCTTCCGAAGTTGGCGGAAGTAGTCATCGTTGCGGGACCTGGCTCTAGCCGTCTGAGCAGAAAACTGCAGGGTTCTTCCGTTGATCCAGTCACTGCGGCATCGCTGGGTGTATCCAAGGATTTTCTCAGCTGTCTCATAGACTGATGTCTTCAGTGACGACCACTGGTTACTGACTTCTCCGTCGGCTCGGGTCGTAAAACAGGTCCGGATTTCTCTGCTTAGGGCCTCGGCAGTGCTGGCTTGCCGGATTTTTGCGACACCGAGGCGTCTAGGACGTGGCATTTTTGGCGCTGTTGTGAGATGAACTTTCAGCGTGTACGGACGAGGACTTGGTCCGACCCATGGGCGTTACCAGTCTCGGCACCACGCATCGATCTGCTATCGTGAACCCAGCAGCGGAACCTTGAGCTGACTAATATGTAGTCAATCTGACTGGCAATACGACCGTCGTTTGAATACGAGGTCAGCAGATGTTTTTTGCGATGCTGGAAGCATGTGTTGGTGACAAGTAGTCGGTTTCGATCATCGAAGTTCAGCAATCTCTCACCATTTTCGCATCGGGAACCAAGCCCAAACCGGCCAAGAAGATGACTGGTTGTGGGGTCGCCAGGTTCAGTTCGACCATTCCAATCGCCAGCAACAATCAGCAGATCGCGGCAAGGCAGTCTTTCAACTAGCGCTTGCAACTGAGACTAAAACGCCTCTTTATCGCGCTGTTCGGCAGCCGAAGTTGGTGCGTACACAGCGACGATGGAGATGTTCGTGAAGTGACTCTTCAGTCGCACGTAGGCCATCCGGTCATTGACTGGTTCCCAAGCAAGGAGCGCGAGGTTCGCTTGTTGCGATGGGGCGATCGCCACACCTTGTCGACCAGAAGAATCGCGTGGGCCGCTGTGGTACAGGGTGAAGTATGATTCGACTCCCGGGATCTTTATTTCACGGGAGCCTGAGTCAGGGAGTCGTACCTCAGACAGACAGCAGACATCCACGTTGTACTGATGAAGGCTGCGTGCGGTCAGGTTTTGGCTACCAGGGTCCAGAAACGTTCGCACATTCCAGCATCCAATACCAAGAGTCCGTCCACGATTGAGTAGTCCAGCTCGCATACTATTCGCCCAAACCGCTGGACCAGGGTTGCGGAGCGCGTCGGTTCCCGCGGACGCCGTAGCATGGGTCGTTATACTATAGTCGGACATATTTCATGAGGTTTCTTGGGAATTTCGGATTCGAGCGGGTCCCCAACAGCCGCTCGGGTTGTTTGTTCGAGGTTGTCTCCTCTAGCGCTTTGGCTTAAAAGCCTAACCACAAGGCAGCGGTGGCAAGTACACTTATTTAGTGGCGGTTTACGGTCACCGTGTCACAATGCCTTCATTGGGTTTTGCGGCATTTTATAATGCTTTCAGTGTGCCAGACTTCAGCCCACCGCACTCTGGTAGCAATGTCACTGCTGGTCCGCGACTGCTTATTCGTCAGACCTGGGTTTGCTTATTTCGCAACTAACATTCACCGAAGGTCGTCCCACTATCCGCCACCTGTGGACGCGCCGGGTAGCCAGCAGCTAGGCTAAAGGGCAACCCGTCTTCCCGGAATTAATGATCTATCGAAATTCCACTACCTGAGTTTCAGGCAACTAAAAGCTTTAAAATGACCAATCCGATTCCGAAATGCGACCAAATTAAATAACCAAGGCCGGTGATTGATAGGCGCCTGCTACGTCCGAACTTTGCAAGAAGCTTCGAGGTAGCAAACCTCGGATATTATTCCACAGAAGTGTTTCGTCAGCGGAAAGTTCGGTGAAAAGAACTCCATACTGTGGTACTCAACGCATCAGCCGTAGGGATTGAAATAAAGCACGAAAGACAAGACCGTATGCAGGGAACACAAAATTTTACATGCGACCTCAAGGGCCGAGGATTCTGAGGAAATTCCACACCACGAGGATTACCGCGACACACGCTTCATCGACGTTGCCACAAAGGCACTTCCCACTAACAGTGTCAAACGATGTCGGAGTGTGTGTGGCTCGGGAATGCGGCCAAACCAATGCGGTCTCCGTAGTAGACGTGGGTCCGGTGACCGTATTTTCAGAATTTGGCACATTCTTAAATCTTGCCATGATTATCAGCAGCCGGTGGGTGACTGCCCTGCTGACCTCGCCTCAGCGTTCATTTCCGTCTGTTGAGTCCCTGTGGAAGATAATGGAGCTGAACTGTGTACTAGCTAAATCCTCGCCATTGTCAGGGCGTATTATTGCTTCATCCCTGCACGAGTGCTGGCCCACAACGATCCCATTTAGTCGATTAGGTTGTATCCTTTCGCTCGTTCTGTTCAACTGCGCTAATTACTGGGCTCTTGCGATAGTTTTGACGGTGTTAGATCTGCATCCGGGCCTCGGCTAACTGATTTCGACTACTCCGACGATATTGCCCCGTTGGTTTCGAGTTTTGGTGTTCTACAGTCTGGGGTGGATGAATTCGCTGAATTGGTGTTCCGACGCCTAAAGCTACGATGACTGCGGACCTTTCACCTTTCCTCGACTACCGCGAAGATTCTGGTGTGCTGGGTTCTCGTACCATTCTTTTGCAAAAGCTGACAACTTAGCTGGACTGCCAAGACCTGGCCAAAGAGTTCGCGGCATTTCAGCCATGACCTACAAGAAATTCGATCGCCTACTCCCGAGTTCTCCCTCCTTTTTAGGCGCTTGCGCTCGAGTACGAATGGTAGTGATCATTCACTTTTACTCCCCCACCTACTCATTTAGGAAATCACAGAGCTGCCAACTTCACATTCCAAGTTTCCAGAGAATCACACTATGTGTGCAAGATTAGTGGTGGGGGGTTCACAGAGCGCCCTACCTCTAGTAGTTGTATTCAGTGTGTAGGCCCCCGTATGCAGCTTGTCATAATTTGATCTGTGAATTCGCCATTAGGCCGTTTCATGAGGTTTCTCAGAGATTTGAGCACAGGCGAGTCCCCAGCAGTCACACGGTTTGTCCGTTCGAAGTTGTCTCCTCTAACGCAATAGTTCAAAAACTTATCTACAGGTCAGCGGCTCACTGTCGCCATTTTCGTGTCGTTATCGGACTTTGCGGCATTTCATAAAGCAGTCGGCATACCGGACCTTAACCTCCCGCTTCCTGGCGGCAGTCGCCGCTCGCCAGAGTGCCTGCCTATTTCGCAGCCAACATCCGCTGAAGGCCGTACCAGTGTCCACGTGCAGGCGCGCCTGGTATTGACACATCTTCCTGGAGCGTCTTCAGTGAACGGGTGGTACTCAAGAGCAAATGCTTTGTTGAGGTGCTTGCTAAAGATGAAGCAGGAAGGTATGCGCACGTGACTCTGACGACCTAAAGTTGAAAGCCGAGACCCGAAAGCTTGCACATAGGCGTTACTGGAATTTGGGCAGCTGCTGGCCCGTGAAAACCCGCAGCGCCTTCTCGGCGCAGCTTGGGCAGTTCAAGTGCCATTGCCATGTAAGAACCTCGATTAGACGCCCGAACTACTCTCCCAGCTGTTGCGTGAACGTTCAACTACTGCAGTCATGGCGCTGATCCACTAGTAACCCTACAGGCCCCACCATTATTACACTGTATCTGTCAGATACGAGTTTTTGACTAATCGATTCTTGAAGCAGGACATATTTAACATATGCTCCGAACCATTTGTGCAATGAAATGGGTAAATCTTCAAGGCCATACTGTAAAATCCCTGTGCACTTATTTGTACCTCAGACTTCGACTGTGATGCCAATGACAGATAAGACTAATACAGAGGGTTGACCTCATTTCCTCTGAAGACTATTAATCAACACTGAACGTTTGGGGGTGAGGCCAGGGAACTCTCGCCAAAGGCCAGTGTTTCCTCCTCTGAACCAATGAAGTCTAGACGTGTGGCTTGCCAGCGAACCGTGTACAACACGGCTCTGATGTGATGACAAATTTGAAGAAAAGATTTGTAAGGCATCCCGCGGCGTATGAGGATGAAATCGTCCGCCTTTTGGGCGATCTATCCCCTATCGCATGTTGTATACCGATTACCTACTTCTCAGTAAACAGTCCCGGAGCCAATGCTCCCTCTCTCAGTCCAAACTCCTACAGGATTCCAGTTAGTAGTTAGCTCACTGTACCTCAACGTCAGGATTAGAGGGCGAGTGGAAAATAGGTAAGAAGTCTGGAAAAATGAGGTCAAAATGGGGAACTGGAAGGAAGAAGGGGACTGAGATATACTGACCGAAATGCTTACTAATGCGACGAAATCTGGTAGGTGGAGCGCGGAGGCACCAGAGTATTTGGGAGGGTTGTGGTGAAAATCAGAGGAACCAGGCAATGAAGGGGGGCGCAGGTGGTGGAGGCAGAGGGAATGCCAAGCGGAGGCAGAATGAGGGGGGGAGTTAGGGAGCGAAGGCAGCAGATATGGAAATAGGGAAGACCAAGGCACGTGCAGAGACTAGGAAAGCGAAGATGACAGGGAAGACTTGCGCGTGATTTAGAGTCTAATGACTGAGATTTTGACTGCATTGTTGTCCTCACATCTGTGCCACGAGGGGGGAAAGACAACTGCAGATGTGGGCGAGCGCAACAGCCGAACAGACAGTTGTCCGCGTCCACGCCTGTCTGCTGTGTGTGTCATTCAGCACATTAACCTAATTCCACTCATCCCAGTATCGCCGAGAGTTGCCCTAATGGCGTGTTTAGAAATGAAGAGAGGACCATTACAATCTGGCTCGCAGTTCGGAACAGAGTCGCCTTAGCAGTTGTCAAGCGTCTAGGTTACGAATCTCAACCGGCCATGATGTCTAAAGAGCGCATGAGATTTCATCTTAACAGGGACCCAGGATGAGCGTTATCTTGCTTCCCACCAGTCACAAGACTGATTCAAGCCGGCAGAATACAAGATTCGGCGCAATGGCAGATAACCCGGGAAGCCCCCGTCCCCGACTGGCCACGCGCCGCAGCCCCTCCGCGGAGCACAGACTAAGGAAAGGGGAGCTATAAGCAAACATAATACGGTTTAAGAGAGAGGCAAGAGAGGAACGACAGAGAAGGGGCCCGCAGAAAGTTTGGAGTGGATGCGGACGTAGGTAGACAGCGAAAGCCAGAACGTGGAGGTATACGGCGAGAGGGTGATACGTGGCAGTCAACCCGGCGTGGTTACAGCGACCGGACCTCTTTGCTGGCTGACTGCCTGTACTGCGTGGGACTCAGTCTCCGGCTTGCGGACAGCGCGACGTTAATGGGTATTTTGGTTCCCAGTGATTTGTCGCAGCCGGACATAGGTCAGGCGCTCGCTCACGCTCCTCGCTGGCGAAAACAACAACGGCCGGCTCTCAACTTAGATGAGCAATTACTTTTTCTGCCTTCTGAGTCGCTTGTACTTTCCCGGCCAACGTTAATCATGTCTTTCTAATTCTGTCTTCCTGAGTCTCAAATTTGGAAACTTCTCGTTATCGAATGGGACGGGTGGGTGGATGTAGATGAGGCCGACGAAAGAGCGAAAGTGAGAAAGATGGAGCTGGAGGGGGAGGGGGGAGAGAAACAGTGAGCAGTAAGACGGCGTGTGACGAAGGGGGGTTTAGATGGAGAGGCACCTGGCGAGACAGAAGAAAATAGGGCATATGGGGGAGGGGCAAGCAGTAAGAGAGACGGCGAGACAGACAGGAAGTTAGGTGGAAAAACAGAGGGAGAGGGGTGTAACGACTGTGAGACGGTGATTAAGAAACAACAAATGGGTGGTGGAGGGAGATAAAGAGCCTGGTGGTGGATGGGAACGTCGGCTAGTGAGCGATGGGGAGATGGCGTGCAAGGAAGGAAGTCGGATTGAGGGACGGAATGGGTGTTGCCGGAGGATAGAGCAGGGAAAAACCAGAGAGTAGGACGCGAAGTCACACGCGATAATCGCTCTGGCTGGCCGGCGGAAGCGAATAACGCCAGCCGACCAGTGCCTCCGCCTGGTGATGCGTGCGGCCTAACTTGTTTAATAGCTGCACGAACAAGTGCACGTGTTGCCCGTCCAGCCACTACAACCCACCTCATGATCAGTTAACTTGACGTACTCTTGTAATTAGGGCAGATAGGAACTGGGGACAATTGGGCTGGTACCGCGACGCC